TCAGGATGCAGACCGCTCTGGCTTCTTCCATGCTGAACAGGGATGCAGGGTGAGACAACTGGAGTACCCCTTCAGTGGGTCTATCTAAAAGACTCCCAAATTACATAACCCTTATCAGTAGGGAGAAAAGAAAGTCCTTGACTGGTGAATAGATGTGAAGGCGAAGTAAAGGCAAGAGTATTTAGCATTCCAAGTTCTATACAGGGGACCAGAAAAAAAGTCAGAACAGCTCATATCAGAGTCCATTGGGATTTCTTGATGAGAGCTTCCAAAAGCATCCCTCTATTGGGTTCCTCCTCATTTTTCTTTTGTCTGTCAAAGCGGGACTAAAGAATGATGGACTCAGGATTTGTTTTCAGGCACTTTGATAGCTGTTGGAGTGGCTAGAATCAGTGTCAGTTCCCTCTCAAATGCTCCTAAATAGGGGGAGAAAACAAATTTAACCATCGTTTTAGAACAATAGTGGGTTATCTCCCTTAGCTACAGGTGGGCACTACAGTATTGCAGACCAAGATTTGAAGACTTACAGCTGAGCAGCAGATTTTGCTTAGCAACAAAATCATCAATGAGAAATAGTTGTCTAAATAACATTTTATATGGACTTAAGTCCAATATCTTGGAAGTGTAAGCCCTTGAGCTCTTAAAGAAATATACTGGTAACTTTAATGTTTGGTTATACCTTCCTTTTGGGTGTTTAAGACCATACCATTGTCCCAAATAAACCAATTTATTTTTACTCTTCAGGTCTTTGGAGTTCCTCAGGGGGTCATATTGGCTTGGGAGGAGCCTCTGGTTCCTTTATTTTACCAGTTCCATCTATATGAAGATAAGTCAAAGGTCCTGCTTGACCACGGCTGGCTTAACTTGGAAACTTGGAGGAAATGTTTCCACTGAGTTGACCCTCCTCTTTGTAGACTGGACACTGGTTCAAGTCCATCTGGTGGGGTCTCCATGGCCTCCCTAAGAGGACGGGTGATTTACCACAGTTAAAGGACATTTTGAGAGATGCTCCATAGTCCCCTGGAACTTAGTTGACCTTGGAGGGAAAGGGGCAAAAACTGTCCTTTAAGTCCCTCTGACCAGATTAGTGTAGGCCCCAAAGTATGGCTGTTAAATATCCAATAAAGTTAGTTCCACCAGTCTGGTACTTTTAATTACCGTGTGCTATGTACATAAAGCTTGGGCAAAATCCAAACACTCTCAGATAAAACTTGATTTGACATACATTTTGGTCCTTAAACTAGTTGACTAAACTATAACCTTGGAAAATTTACGATTATATGTGTATTATTTTTGTCTCATCCTTTATATATCACAGCAAACCTACACAGACCTTCATCTCTTGTTTAGGCTTTCCCATTTTTTTTTATTTTGGAAAATATCTCCATTCCCATATCCTTTTAGCACCTTTTAAATTCTCATTTTCATTTTTAATAATTATGAGATGTAATAACATTAACAAATAAAATTCCCATCTGTTGCGAGAATTCTTTTCCTGGGGATACTAAACAATGCTTATCTCCTTTTACGATTCTAGAGTCAAACCAATGTTTGATTAAAGTTTTCCTGGGGAACCAATGAATTTACTGAGCTTACTTACAGAGATGACTGAGAGGTTGCTGAAGTGTATGAGTGACCTGGGGGTATGCACACTGGAAAGCCTTAAGCCAGCATGGATCAAGCCTTCTCTTCATAGCCTTCCCCAGATTATAAACTTTAGTCCTCCCCAAATCCAGGAGACCATGTGTGATTAGGGCCAAATTACATACAGTTAGCTGGGAAGAGTGTCTGAATACTCCAGTTAGGGTCCAATGACCCTGCTTGGCCTTCCTTTAATGAATGAGCACAACCATCAACAAGCCCAATTGTGATGATGTTTAGCAAGCAGGCACAGCTGAAGTTTTGAGTCTGTGTTATTTCACTGCTGGTGGGATTGCAAACTCGTGCAACCCCTATGGAAAACAGTGTGGCAAACTATTCAAAAACTAAAAATGAACCTTTCATATGTCCTGGCTATACCACTCCTTGGAATAAACCCAACAGACTCATCCTATTATAGAGACACTTGTACAACCATGTTTGTTGCTGCTCTTTTCACAATAGCTAAGAGATAGAAGCAACCTAAGTGCCCCTCAGCTGAAGAGTGGTTAACAAAAATGTGGCATATTTACACAATGGAGTTCTATGCAGCAGTAAAGAAAGACGAGATAATGAAATTCTCAGGTAAATGGATGTATCTAGAAACTGTTATACTAAGTGAAGTAACAAAGACTTTGACTAGTTTTAGTTTGAATTCTATTTTGCCATATGACAGAATACCTGAAATCTGGTGGGGTGCTATGTGGGGTGCTATGTGGGGTGGAAAGGGAGGAAGGGGTCTAAATTTGATTAAGATGTATTATATGAAATGCACAAAAACTAAATAAAAATTGGGGTGAATATTTGTCACCTTAAATTATAATAGCTGCACCGAGTTGTTGCTTATTTCTATTTGTTTAAAATAGCTTTTTCCTTCCTTTCCCTGTAAGGTGGTATAAAACACTATGGGTAAGGGATGTTTCTTGTAGGCAGCAAATTGATGGATCCTGTTCTCTACTCAATTCATTTAGTCTGTGTCTGTTTCTTTTTAGTGGGGACTTGAGACAATAAATACTGCAGGTTATTGTTGACCAACGTTTGGTTCTGTTATGTCACTGTTGTAGTGCTAGTCATTAGCCCTTTTTTTGGTTAACTTCTCTATTCCTTCTGCCCTCTAGAGCATGTTTAATTTTCTTTTCTGATGAAAGTATTCCGTTAAGTATTCTCTGTCCAGCTGGTTTTGTGGATATAAATTCCTTACATATGTTATCATGGAAAATTTTACTTCCTCCCTCAATTACAACCGATAGCTTTCTGGGTATAGTAGTCTGGGCTGGAATCTGTGTTCTTTCCTGGCTTGTATACCATTGGTCCATGACTTACTGTTTTCTTAAAATGCTATCAAATCGAATATTTGTTACCCTAATGAGGTTGGGTGTGAGTTCACTCCTGGGAGCCTGGTCAACCTATCCATTGCCTCACCCTTAAAGAAAACTGACTCAATAGCTATCAATTTCCAAGAGTTCCTCAGCATTGGCTGGGGCTTTTTGCATAACTCCCCTATCCTTGCTGGAGTTTTGTCTGGCTTCACTTATGTAGGTCTTGTGTAAACAATCACAAACACTTTGATTTCATATGCGCAAATGACATGTTGTGTCTGGAAAGCACTGTTTCCTTGAATTCATGCAGTCTCTGGGTCTTAAATACTTTCTTTCCCTTTCTTCCATAATGATCCCAGAGACATTGGAGGAAAGGATGTGATACCCATTTAGGACTCAACACCTCGCAGTGTCTCATTCTCTGCATGCTGACCTGTCATGGGTCTTTGCCTTAATGGCATCTGCTGTAAGAAGAAGCTTCTTTCGGACTGGAAAGATGAATCAGTGGTTAAGAGCACTGTCATCTCTTGCATAGGACCCAGGTTCAGTTCCCAGGACCCACATGGCAGCTAATAACTGTTCTTACCTCCAGTTCCAAGGCATCTGATATCCTACTCTGACCTCTGTGAGCATTGTAGGACACGGGTATACTTACATACGTGCAGGCAATACACTTATAAACATAAAATAAAAGTAATAAATAAAAAAGAAGCTTCCTTAGTGAGAGTTGGGAAAGACATTAAAATCTATGCATAAAATAAGTTGTTATAAATCAGTTTAATATTATGTCCTTTTATTTAGTCAAATAACACTAGTAGAGTCTCCTCTATTTTCTTTGACCAGTCTAGCCACACATTCTAGGCTCTGATAACAACGCCAAGTATGGACTCTATCTTGTGAAGTTGGCCTCAAATTCAATCATTAAGTAGTTGGTATTTCCATAACATTTGTGCCACTGTTGTACCACTTGTCATATCTTGCCAGACCTGTCATTAATGGAGTTCAAAGCTTTCATAGCTGGGTAAGGTTGATGATTACTTCTCTCTTCCAATAGTGTACATAACACCTTCCCTCACTATGAAAGCTAAGGAATCTTCATCTCTATAAAGTTTTGAGGTCAATATGAGCTTGATTCCTCTGTGTTTGTTCTCTGATTCACAAATGTATTATCGTCATCAATAGGGTCCTACCATCAAGTTCTGACATGTAACCAATGGAATGGTGATAGTCATTCTTATTGTATGATTGAAGGGTATTTAGAATCTTCCTGGTAAACAATTCCAAAATAGGGAGTACATTCCCGGAATTTTTTGTTAGCTGGTGATATCTGGTAGTGACATTGTCCTTCCATTGCAGGATGACTCCATTTAAACACTTTTTAATTGTTTATTTCTATATTTTAAGAAGCTTAAGCAGTAGTGAGCTTCCAAGTGACTTTTGCAAAGGCCTTTGGTGGTATTTATTCCTCCATTAATGCTTTCTTTCCTGCTTCTTATTCCGCACTCCATTTAATACTTCTTACCCCGTTCTTACCCCTTCTGACTTGATATCAGTGCATTCTGTCTCTGATCCCATGAAGCTCTCCCAAAATGGCTCTGTACTAAGTTCTGATCTCTATGGATTTCCAATGGAAACACATCTAAAGATTCAAAGGCAGCATTCATCCTTGTGGGAGAATGGGTGAAAATGATTGGGTTCAGAGCTCTGTCTTTATAACAGCCTAAGAAACTGAGTGGTGGTATTTCAGGCATCAAAGACTCTCAAATCCATAAAGGATATGGATTACTCATAGGCCAGGGTAGCACAAACTGTACCTAAAAGAAGTTTCTAGGCATTTGGTGTTTGACAAATTACTTAATCTCTATAGGTGCATTTCATTTTGCATTGTAAACCAGAGTCAGTCATTCTTACATTGAACTGTGGTCTTCAGAATCAGAGATTACACCGGGCACGTGCTCATGTCTTTTTTTTTTTTTTTTTTTTTTTTTTTTTCACTGTGTAGCCCTAGTGCTTTTCAGGAGCACTAGTGGAAAGTTCTTAAAAATGGATCCAACCCTCCCAGCCTGGGGAACTGAAGTCACAACAGTGAACGGAAGCAACCTCACTCTGCCTACACTCTGTGACCACATGAGCCTCTCCGTGACTTTTCTTATCGTCCTCATTGCCGTGGCTGGGCTGGCAGGAAATGCCATCGTGCTGTGGCTTCTGGGCTTCCGGATGCGCAGGAATGCCTTCACTGTCTACGTCCTCAACCTGGCTGGGGCTGACTTCCTCTTCCTCTGCTTTCACGTTGCATATTCCATAAAGTGTATTACTAACTTCCTCCACTCCATCTCCATCTACATCCCTACCTTTTCTAGCATTGTGTTCACGTTTGCTTACCTTGCAGGTCTGAGCATGCTCAGTGCAATCAGTGCTGAGCGCTGTCTGTCTGTCCTGTGGCCCATCTGGTACCGTTGCCAACGCCCAAGACAGACATCAACTGTCGTGAGTGCCCTGCTCTGGGCCTTGTCCCTGCTCTTGAGCCTCCTGGAAGGGGAGGAATGTTGCTTCAGGTTTAAGCGTGTTTATGAGTTTTGTGAGACATTTGATTTCATCACTACTGCATGGTTAATTGTTTTATTTGTGATTCTCTTTGGGTCCAGCCTGACCCTACTGGTCAGGATCTTCTGCAGCTCACAGCGGGTTCCTGTGACCAGGCTGTATGTGACCATTACACTCACAGTGCTGGTCTTCCTGCTGTTTGGCCTGCCTTTTGGGATCCACAAGTTCCTCTTGCAATGGATCATGAAAACATTAAAAATTACCCATGTTGATTTTGCACAAATTACAACACTTACGTCCTGTGTTAACAGCTCTGCCAACCCCATCATCTACTTCTTTGTTGGCTCCTTTAGGCATCACAGGTTCCAGGGAGGTACTCTCAAGCTACTTCTTCAGAGAGCCCTGCAGGACACCCCTGAGGAGGAAGAGTGTGGAGAGAGGGGATCTTCAGGAAAACCTGGGAAACTGGAAACAGTCTACCCAGCAGTTGAGATCAGATAGAAGTGACTTTGAGGGCTAACTCTGCCTTTATCAGTGTGTGACATTTTCATAACCTGGTACAGTTGGTCACTTGCCCTTAAATAAGTTAAAAAAAGAGTCATCCATTTGTAACTTGAGTGATACAGGTCTTAACAAATCCTGACTACAGTGGGCCACCAACCAGCATTTCAGGATTTTACTCCAACCCACTGTGACGGGATTCCTAAGGCTCTGAAATGATCACACTATTGACACATCCATACTTCAACAGGAGGCTGAAAGCAGTGTTGGAAAAATCTGAATTTCTTTGGTCACCGAAGTTGATAGAAATTAAATGAATGTTACATTTTTTGCAAATTTCCTGTTTTGAAAAAGCCAGTTTTGCCCTTGTACTAGAAGAATTGAATTGAATAGCTCCACAGTCTCCATTAATTTCTGTAGACTTTAGACTATTTCTGTAACTTGATACATTTTTCTTAAATAGATTAGTTGGCAAACAAAATCATTTTTAAGTGTAGACTGTGCTCGATTGTGCTAAATTTCCATTATCACACTGGGGTCGTCACCCTCAAGTTTATAATCTGCACCGTTTTCACCACTGGCAAGAAAGAAGTCAGGTGTTACAGGTAAATACTCCACATCCACACTAATGTCTTGTGTTTGCCTTCAACAGTGCCTTGGTTAGCATCTGAAGGGCTTGTCCTCCCACTTCCTTCCCTGTCCCTTTGCCCTGATTCTCCCTCTCTGGGCCTGTCTAGTCCCTTATGGCATGTTTCTGTGAGATTCACTAGATTAATTTCTTTGACTTTGAATCTCTGTCAGATTTACAGTATTATCAAATACACAAAGCACGTATCACTCAAATTACACATATTTTGCTTGCATTTTCTGTAGAATAATATTTCCGTTTTAATGCTGCACTATTTGAAAATTTCAACTGATGTGCAACTAAGAGACAGTGATGTACACAGATCAAAGGAAACAGTTTAACAAATTGACTTCGGTGAATATGGTTATGTGACTCCATACTTAATGGAGACATAAAGTATCTTCATATCTCTCTGAAATTTCATGCAATTCTCAGTCATGCCTCTTTGCCTCACTAGTCAGTGTGATTTATATTGTTTTTATACAATTAAAATGTAACTGGTAACTTAGTGAACTGATATATATATATATATGTGTGTGTGTGTGTGTGTATGTGTGTGTTGTTAGAGCTGAAGAAATGAATATATCCATTATCTCCTGAAAATTTTTGTTTTCCTTATTGCAGAAACTACCTATTTAGAAAAACTACTGACTGAAAGGTGCATTTTAAAAAATTATTTTAATTTTATGTGTATGAGTGTATTGCCTGTATGTATGCAAGTGCACTCATGCCCTGCAGTGCCCACAGTCCTGAAAGGTGCATGTATCATGGAAATATCATGTTGTATATTAATTTTATTTCATCTTACATATTTGTTGCTTCATATTTTTTACTTAACTTTTCCTATTTTATATCCCTTACCATGGGCTTGGTATCTAATGTTTACTGTGTGTCTCTGTATACTGATTCATTTGAGTATATTCCATATGTACATTTAGCTTATTCTAGGTAGCATAATAGACTGTAAGTCCACCCATATTGTAGTCTCTGACAGAATCTCCTCTTTTTTAAATGTCGAGTAGTCACCTGCTGTGTATGACTGTAACACTCATTACGCATTTCCCATTGTTCCCTGCCTGGGTTCCTCTCCTGCCTTGACTATTGTGAATAATGCTCCATTAAACTTTCCAAGAAAACTTCCTTATTAGTGGTAGAATCAGAACTCTTTTGCATTATATTATTTTAACCTGATATTTATATATGTATGTATTTCTAAGAAGACTTCCGGTAACTACATAGTTTGAACATTTTTATTTAAATGAATTGCACGTCACTATATTGTAATTGCCATATTTATGTATGTTAAATATTTAGTTAATTATATTAAAATAGGTAGATTGATGCCTAACAAACACACAGCTGTTTTCATTTTGGTATCTTTCATTCACTTATTTTTGTTTTTCTGGATATTGAATACAGGTCCTTATGCATGGTGAGTTACACTCTCATCCCTAGGACTTAACACTTTGGTCTTTTGTGTTCCACTCTACTTTTTTCTTTGGTTTAATTGAATATCTATATCACTACATTTTTTTTCGGTCTTGTAATGTCCATTACACTTTAAGACCTGATTCAGTCTTTGAGTCCTGCAAGTTGCCGGGGTGAACTGACTCCCAAGAGTTGTTTTCTGGCCACCACATGTGCTCCACAGTGTGTGCAAGGTTACACACACACACACACACACACACACACACACATAAATGCACATAAAAATAAATTTAAAAATAAATAAAACAAGGCCGGGCATGGTGGTGCACACCTTTAATCCCAGCACTCTGGAGGCAGAGGCAGGCAGATCTCTGTGAGTTCAAGGCCAGCCTGGTCTACATAGTGAGTTCCAGGACAGCTGGGGCTACAGGGAGACCCTGTCTCAAAAAGACCAAAAAAACAAAAATAAATAATAAATAAATAAAACATTAAATAGTCATTATTCTACCCTAGACTTTGCAGTATGAATTTTAAGTTACTCTGCATTAAGATCCTTGTGTGATTATGTCCTCACATTCACACAATGTTGAATCGCTATTCACATGTCCAAGTACATTTACAATAGCTACAGAAACAAGGTGAAAGACTAGAATGCCTGTCTGTAGTGTGATTAAGATATAGGCCACAGTGAAGGAGATGAAAAGGAAAAAGTTGCTCACATCACCCTCTCCAAACTCTGAGCAGCAGTGTGGATATTTCCAGCTAGCGGGAGAGAAAGGGAATTATGGCCAGGCCTTAGATTTAAAACCCTGTACCATGTCTACTATGTGAAATACACTACTGGTTTGAACACCCTGACCCCTTCCTCCAAGCCAATATCCACAGGAGAGCCAGTAGAACTGCATTAGCGAAAAACAAAATGTCTTCTTCCAATGTTCAGCTTCCAAACTTGAGTTGTAGAATGCAAAAGGAACAAGAGTTTATTCACTGTGGAAAAGGCAGGCATGTAAAACAGCAGAAGACTTTGTCTTAGCAGTCAGTCCAAACTTTCTACCATGGGATCCAGCAACGATAGACAGTAGAAGCTCTGAACAGAGGCTATAACTATAGACTGAGCTGATAGATCTGTCCAAACATCAAATCAGGACTTACGCAGTCACTGGTTAGAATTGATTCTCTGCCTATATCACTATTAGTTTTAGTATGGGCTGAGAATGTATAGATGACTCTGCCTGTGAGATTCAAGTATACATCAGATTAGTGTTACCCTTAGTGGCCAAGGGATTGCCTCTACCACTTGCCTTTGGTAGCACAGCTATAACCAAAAAAAAAAAAAAATTACTCACAGCTGACGCTCTATAATAGTTTTGGACCAGGCAGAGAACTCTGTCCCACTGACACAGATTCATATTTCAATGTATAGCATCACCAGGTTTGTTGTGGGTCTTAGGATGATCCTGAAATAGTTGAAGTTTCTTAAAGCAATAAGGCCAAGTGCCTCAGCCTAAGTATCCAAGGAAATACCTCATTAATGCTACTTCAATTTTGAGCTATGCAGTGTTGGATAAGACCTCATTTAGTGGAGATAAGACAGGAGATTAAAAGAGAACTTTCTTATGGAGATAAGACCTCATTTAATGGAGGTAAGACAGGAGATTAAGAGAGAACTTTCTTATGGAGCTCAGTGCTGAGTAGGTAAAATCTTACACTTGGAAGACCTATGACGTTTTCCACAGAGAGCCTCTGGCACCGATACCACATCATGTCCAATGGAGAGAATAACTATCTGAGCCAGCATCACCTGGCGTTCATGATAACATTTTGGGGCCACAGTTCCAACTCAAGACTAGACATCACACAGCATTGCAGACCTTCATCCTACCTCAGGGCTCTTCGTATTTTCATGGACTATAGATTCAGTGTGTGATGATGCTTGGTGGCACTAGATTGGCAAGGCATGGAACCTGGCTAGCACATTCTCAGAAGCTCTGTGCAAAGCTGGAGAAATGTAAAGTGGGTGACCACAGGCCGATGCTTGTGGATGAGCATTGTATGTGAGAATATCCTGTTTCCAAGGACAGGTTTGATGATGGTGACTGCACAACATTCCAACAGCTATCAGGTGATTGAAAAGAAAAGATATTCTATGAGGAAATTTTCTAACAATCCCCACCTACATAAAAAAATCAATGGTGGAAGATAAGGGAGGAAGGCTGTGTAATGCTGTCCTGGACATGACATTGCTATTGCTCACATGAACCCACAGCAGCTTTGTTACCTGTACAAGATTAATCCCGTGAAAACTTTCCTATGTGAGGAGATATTGGAAGCTGATGGTTTCTGGGGAAGTGGGAGTCACCTTGGTATTTGTTAATGTATCCACTGGTAGATGTCCACAGAGAATAATCCCACATGCATGTGCATATGAACAACACTAATTGAACTCAGAGAATTAAAAAATAAATGCATAAATAAATATATGGGTCAGCCAGATGGCTCAGCAGGCAAAATCACTTGTTCCAAGCCTGAGGACCCGTGTTTGAGCCCTGAGACTCAAATGGTAGAAGGACAGATCTGACTTCCACATGTGCACTGTAGATACCACCCCTCCCCCATTATGCAAAAATAAATAAATAAATGAAAAAATGTACAACAAAAAATCATTTTGACAACTCAAAGAGGTAAGAAAACAATAAAAAATTAAAATTTGTAGGAAGGAATATGAAATAATAACAGAGGAGACAAGATGAGACAGATTTGCAAACAATAACTGATACTCAAACACAGTAAAGGTGATGAACAAAACAAAGAGCTATTTCATTGAAAAGATAAAACTGAAAAACCTTTCTCTAGACTATCTTAGAAAAATAAAGGCAGAACTCAATAAGAGACAGAGTTAAAAGGACTTCAGAACTATTACCACTGAAATACCAAGGACTGTTAG